TGGCGGGACTTGGAATCTCCCGCTGCCTTTGAATCGTGCAACAATTATCCTTCTGCTCTTGAGGGTGGACAGACGCAGTGGAATTTGGAATAAAGGAAAGTGTTAAGTCTGAGGTAGAGTTCGCATCTCTTTAGTGCCTTAATTTGTAAAAAGCAGACTGAACTAGGTAAGTTAACCCCAGAAATGTTAGGAAGTCGGTAAATTTACTGAATGTGTTCGACGTACCTAGTCCGTATTAGGCACTTTGAGAGCTACCAAAAAAAAAAAAAAAGTTAAAACGGGCATTTTTCTGGCGGAAAGCTTAATCTATTTGGGGAGACAAAGTCAACTTGGGGAGACTTGGATTCAGGAATGACTCATCTTGAGTATTGGTATGGACAAATGTTGAACTTCTTGGCACCTTTTTTTTCTTCCTGTAAATCTATAATGGGCACACACGGCTTTTTTTCTAAGAGGATGTATACAGGCGCGTCATTCCTACAGAAAAATCAGAAAATAATGCAAGGTAGTTTATACTTGACTTCTACCCACCAGCACACACAGACCAGGCCTCTAACCACTCCATGGGAGCCTGCGTGCCAGCAGCCTGGAGCCCAGAGCCTTTCCTGGAGCCTGCACAATCCAGACTGAAGCCGATGTCTTACAGAGAGCCCGAAGTGCAATCCAAGCAGGACGCAGCTGAATTTTGAGAGGCCTGAATGCCTCCGCGTCCACCAGGGGACCGCTGGGACTAATTCTCTTGGCAAACTTGTGGCCCGCCAAAACTACCATGCTTCACATCCCCGTTATCCTTGGTTACCGGCCAAGATGTAAGCCCCTTTGGTCTTCTATGCTTACTACACCCTCATCCCCATGCTGCTTTGTGCTTCCCCTCCCTCGATTTAGGCTATCACTGCTTCTCCCTCCTTTTTTTCTACATTTCACCCCTCAAAACGGCTGTGCTCTCTGAAACCTCTGTTCCCTGCTTAACGAACTTTTACATATTCAGTCACTTTATGGAAATTTTCTTTCATCTCCTGACCTAACTAACACGTGGCTTTTCCCTCCAGCCCTTTCAATTGAGCCTTTCTCTGACAGCTGCTTTTAAGGTTGGGTGATGGCTGTCGCCATATTGAACTCTTCCTCAAATACTTTGTCTCCCCTCAGGGTATTTGCAAAGGTTCTTTACTCTCTCTGTGGCATTTGTCCTCCCTAGCCTCTTTCTTGATAATTTCTGTGCCTACTAAAGATCAGATTAGCTGTCACTTTCTCGGAGGGTTGTTCCCTGACTTACCATAGACAGAGTTCAGTACCCTAGTTGTGTGCTAAGTGTCTTCTGTTTTCCTTATCGCAGCACTTATCTCTTGTATCCAAGTTGCTTGTTTCTTTGCTTTTTCTACTAAAGTAGGCTGTGGGGGAGAGACTGTATTTTTGTAACTCCAGTACCTCACAGGCAGTCAGGTATTTCTTGAATGATTACGATGGTCCAGGTCCAGCATCAGAAGTCAAGCAGTTTTCTGTCATTTTCTGATTTTAAGATGTAAAAACTGTTCAGAAAGGGTCATATGCTACTCAGCTACAGCTTATTGTGGCCATGTAACTGTGTGACCCCAGTGTTGCCAGAGCATCTGGTTTTTTTCAGGGAAAGTTGGAAGCAGTTTCTTGGGTTTTTTTAAAGTGGTATCCCAGTTTTTAAGTTTTGTCAGTGGATTAAAAATTTTATTTAAAAACCACAAAACTTGGGCCAAACACAAGTCACATGTGTCCTGTTAGACAACAGTTTGGATTCTAAGTGTCATAGGGCTTAGAAATGGGCTTTGTGGAGAATAGCAGATTTTGAACTGGGCCTTTGATGGATGGTTGGAAGTTGAACGAGAGAATAGTAAAAGGTATTCCAGTTTGGGAAATAAGTCAAACAACTCCAGGGTAGTGTGTGTTGCTTTGTGGCACAGGGAAGAGGCTGGCATGAATCATCCTTTTGGAGAGAACAGGAGGTTAAGTGAAATAATAGCGCAGGCATATGGAGGGCAGAGAAATTTGGATTTGTTACAGTTAATAAGAAACTATTTAGATTCTTGATTAGGAAAACTTCAGATATGAATGATGTAATAGCAAAGTGAATTATCTTTTTTTAAATATATTTTGACTAATTTCAGAGAGGGGAAGGGAGAAGATCAGAGAGAGTCTTTGACTGACTGCCTCCTGCACACCCCCTGCTGGGGATCGAGCCTGTAACCCAGGCATATGCCCTGACCGGGAATTAACCGGGATCTACTGCCTGGATCATAGGTTAATGCTCAACCATTGAGCCATGCCTCTGAGCTGATTATCTTTTATAAAGGGTGAAATGGAGAGGAAAAACCTAGAAGGAGGCTGGCCAAATAATATTGTAATGTCCATCTAGATGTGAAATAAGATTTAGATTTGTAAATATTATATATAAGCAAATATCTGGTACTTTTGTCTACTTGTGTAATTTTAGTTATTTGATCACTACAATGGACAATCAAGAATCTTCTATAAGTATTTAATACAGTATGGAGGGTCTTATAAAAGAAGTATTCTGAGAGCATCGAAAAGTCGAGTAACTTGTGAAACTAGTGGAGAATGCAGTACTTTCACAGTTCTAAGTCCTGTGGTTCATTATGAAGCAGTCAGTGGTCCCCTTTTCTCTAATCTCTTTTTCTTAATCCATCTTGTTTACTGCCAGGATAGTCTTCTGGAGTGGCATTTTTCTCCTAACCTTAATTTCTAGGCTTAAAAACCTTCAATGAATTCCTCTAGTGTTTTGGTATGTTGTGCCATTTAATGTCCTTGAATTTGTTCTCTCTGTCTTTTCTTGTTTTGTTTGTGAAGCAAAGTGATATGATGGAAAGGGCTTGGGCTTTAAAGTCAGACAGGCCTGAGTCTGATTCCAGGCTCCATTTTGGCTCTGGGATTTGAGCTTTTCAGAGCCTCCATGTTTTATTTGGAACAGGAAGGATAACACCTACCTCAGGGGAGGAAATGAAATCTTGTGGAGTACCTATGCAGAGCTATTTCCTACTCCTTTGCAGTGTACATCTTCTGCTCTTGTCAGTTCCATCTTTCTTATGTACATGTTGTTTTCCCTAATTCCTTTCCCTTTTCTTGGCTTCTATTTACTATTGTTCATCCACATTTAAGTAGTCCCCCAAGATTTGGTTTAAATTTTCTTGGTTTTCTTAAGTATTATTTTCTGCATTTATCTCTCTCTGAGCACTGAACAATGATTAATTCTAGTAGGTACTTTGCTATATTTTAATCACTTTAATTGGCATCAATATTAGTTTTTTTCTCACTGACCTTAAATAATTATGTTCTAAAATTCATTTTTAATTTAGTTGTCTGAAATTTTAAACATTTTCCGATTGAAATCGTATTTTTTTTTTTTTTAAAATATATCTTTATTGATTTCAGAGAGAGGAAGGAAGAGGGAGAGAGAGAGACAGAAACATCAATGATGAGAGAGTCATTGATCTGCTGCAGCCCGCAGCTGGGGCATGTGCCCTGACCGGGAATCGAACCCTGATCGCCTGGATCCTAGGCCGATGCTGAACCGCTGAGCCATGCCCGGCTGGGCTGAAATAGTATTATGTAGTTTTTAGGTTCAAGATAGCCCTTAAAAGCTTCTTGATTCAATTTAGTATGTTAGGAATATGTTTACCTTCTTTTAGATCAGTATATCTAATCCTGAGGTGAGACAAGATTTTTAAAAAGTGTCAGGGTCCCACTGCAGACCAGTTATATAGGGATTTCAGAGGATAGGGCCTAGGCATTTGTATTTTTTAAAGCGCCTTAGATGGTTCTAATGTGCAGCCAGAGATGAGAATCCCTGCTTCGGGTGCTAGAGTTAAAGGATTCTCATTGGTACTTTTTGCTTAAAAATGAAATGACTTTACTGTCATGAAAAGTGTGACAGGAACCATAATCTAATAGTGCTCATTGGAAGTTTTCTGAAAAATTAAAAGTTACAAAGAGATAATGTTTTCCAGAACGGCTCATGTGGTGGTCATGGATATTATGTTTGTTTATTTGGCCAGTATTTAATAAGTACCTCTGCTAAGCAACAAGAATTAAGAGAGGTTCCCAGTCATTCCCTTTGCAGTGGTATTTAGTTTGGGAGGGAGAAGAGGAAGCAAAGTAAATTGAATATGATGTTATATAGTAGTGTTATAGCTGGGTGCTTTAAGAGGCCCAAAGAAGGAACAACTTTATTGTTTTAAAGAGTATAAGAAACAACAAAATCTATGGGACACAGCGAAAGCAGTCCTAAGAGGGAAATTTATAGCATTATAGGCCTACCTCAAGAAACAAGAAAAATCTCAAACAATCTAATTTTACACTTAAAGGAACTAGAAAAAGAACAACAAAGCCCAAAGTAAGTAAAAGAAAGGAATTAAAATCAGAGTAGAAATAAACAAATAGAGCCTAAAAAACAAAATACAAAAGATCAATGAAGCCAAGAGCTTGTTCTTTGAAAAGATAAACCTTAACTAGATTCATCAAGAAAGAAGGAGAGAGGACCCAAATAAATAAAAACAGAAATGAAAGAGAAGTAACAACTTGACACCAAAGAAATACAAAGGATTGTAAGAAATTATGCCAACAAATTGGACAATCTGGATGAAATGGATAAATTCTTAGAAACATACAATCTTCCAAACTCAAGAAAATATAAATATCCCTAGCCGGTTTGCTCAGTGGTTAGAGTGTTGACTATTGGACTGAAGTGTCCTGGGTTTGATTCTGTCCAAGGGCACATACCTCATACCTCAGTTGCAGCTTGATCCCCGGCCCTGGTCGGGGCACATACAAGAGGCAGCCAATCAATATCTCTCTCTCACATTGATGTCTGTCTGTCTGTCTGTCTGTCTGTCTGTCT